CTACAATGGGGCTTCCCCTTATTGGGCTTTTAAGACTTGGGGCCACCCTTTTTAACCTAGCCACTGGCATCAGCCTTCTGGGCTTCAGTTTTCTTCTCCTTAGTATCCTGCTTTGCAGCTTTTTCACCTGCCATCTCGTATAGTGGGAAAGAGCGGGAGATCTTAATATTAAAAAGGTTACTAGGAATGCAATACTAAATCTAAAATACTAAATACTAAATAATCTAAATACTTAGATTTAGCTCTGAGTTCCTGGAGGCCAACCTGAAAATGGAAACATTTTAAATTATACACCCCTCATTATCTAATAAAGAAAACATTTTAAGTTATTCAAATGTAAAACTTTGTCCAAAAGTTAAGCTTACATGAATTATCAGCTATATTACAATAGGCAGCATTATTAATAATATTTTTATTAAATAAAAATATAGGATAATTTTTCATATGGTGTAATGCTAAATCTTGGTTCTGTGTAACTCAGCATTTCTTTGGGGACCTAAAGAACTAGGGTCCAGGAATGTGCATTTGTGATAACTTGATTTGATGAAGGGACAGAGTGTAAAGTCTTTAAAGCAGCGGTTTTCAAATATTAATGTGCAACCACTGTAACTGGGAAGATTTATTTTTCATGCAGATTTACTGCACTCTCCCAACTCTCACCACCAATTCTGATTGTGAATGTCCGGGACAGAGCCTAAAAATCCAAATTGTTAACATCTCTGCTTCCGATGCAGGTGGCCACTGGAGCCCATTTTGAGAAACACCAATCTAGAAGTGAATGGTTTGTATGTCCCTTTGCTTTGACCAGCTCTTTGAATATAAACTTATTCCTCCTGACTTGATAAGCAGCAAACACCCTGAGACAATGTCTCAGGGGAGATACAGGACATATAAGGGCTCTGGGTTGTTGATTAAAATTATTCTTATGCTTTATCTACCAGGCATAGAGACAGTAAAAGTGGTGTGATAAACCCTTGAGGTAGCATGGGGGAAGATGACGGAGTGTAAAAATGGTCAGGGAGAAATGGGAGAGGAACAGAATAAAGTAATCCAGGCTCAGAACTCCAAAGCTAGCCTTCACTGCTTTGCCATTTTCTGAAGACCAGCCTTGTACGGTTTCCATTGTGTGTATAGATATTTGTGTCCTGCCTTGCTATCTTGATCATCATTCATGGGAAAACTTTCTGGAAGTTCATTCTGAACGAGAGATGGGGTTAAAGTGGAGGTCCATAGGGATCCATAGATTCGTAAGGATTCACAGGTGGGCTGTTGGGGGTGGGAGTGGGGTCGCTGGACCTCCTGAAATTACACCCTAATATTTTGGGCGTATAGGCGTATGTGGATTTTTATGAAAAGGGGCTCTATTTATGACTTCCATCAGGTTTTCAGAAAGGCCAAAAATGAGCTCAAAGAGTTGAGAATCACTGGGCATTTCTGGGTACATCAAGTTCCATGTTCATATCTGTGTGTTTCTGTAACATTCCAGCCAGAGGTCAGTTAATTGACAACCTCCTTGGTGGCAGCTAGGTCACTATGTGTCCCTCTCCCCCCCCCCCCCCCCCCCCCAAAAGCCACTCTCCCTGCCTAATCTGAGGATTATGGTAGCAAAGCTGTCAGGCTTGATTTCAGCAAACTGTTTTGGGTAATTAGTCCCTTTTAATTGCTCACAGAAATACTAATTTTAGGTGACAAGATTATTATATGCTGCTTGTTAATGGGTTCTCCAGGGTCAAGAAAACACCACTGAGATTGCTAGGACCTGTTCTTTTCCATCGTTGGCTTTACCCTTGAAATCCAGAGAAGACATTCAGCTCCCGCTCTGTAAAAAGTACAGAGCACTGGTTTCCTTTATCCTTCTGCCAAGTGAAGGATTAGCGAGGGACTTTCAACTTGTCCCGGCTATTACCAGCCCTTGTCAGGCTTCACAGACTCACTGATCATTAACTTAAAAAACTGGAGGGAATTTCTAGCTCTTCCATTTGCTTGTTTACCTAGTCAGCCAAGTTGCTTTATAAACGAGTGAGTTTTGAATAAATAGGGTCCTAGGTGATGAAATATTTGACTCAGCTCAAGTTGAATATTTTCATTGCTTTTTCGCTTCACTGAACGAGAGGGTCACTGAACTGATAGGTCAGGGCAGGTTTGCCTAATAGTTTACCATGTGCCAGCTGAGGGGAGGAGTGGAGAGAAGGCGGAAACTCTTCTCAGCAGTTTAGGAAGCTGGAAATGGATTGTCTGTTTACGAGCTGCATCATTCTGCGCCATCGTTTGACCTCTCAAAGCCCTCATTTCATCATCTGTCAAAAATCATGCCTAACTCACAGCACAGCTGTTAAGGATTAAGTTATGTCACAAACGCTCAGCATGTGGCAAGAACTAAACCAAACAAAAAAGACACACACAGTGGGAGAAAATATTTGCAAATCATACACCTGATAAAGAGTTAATATCCAAAATACATAGAGAACACAAACAATTCAATAGCAAGAAAATAAGTATGATTTTGTAGCCAGATTAAAAAACAGGGAAAGCATCTGACATTTCTCAAAAGAAAACACACTAATGAACTACTAGATATATGAAAAAAGGTTCAACATCACTAATCAGCAGGGAAATAAATTAAAAAGCACCAGAAGATGTAACTTTACACCTGTTAGAATGGCTAATGACTGTGGATGAGGATGTGGAGAAAAGGGAACCCCCATACACGATTGATGGGAATGTAACTGAGTATGTCCATTATGGAAAACAGTATGGAGGTTCCTAAAAAAAATGGGAAATAGAATTATCATATGATCCAGCAATCCCACTTGAGGTCAGTACATTGAAGAGATATCTGCATCCCTATGTTTGTTATGGTACTATTCATAATAGCTAAGATCGGAAACAACGAGAGTCCAACAGATAAAAGGGTATTTAAATTCTGGTATATATACAATAAAATACTATATAGCCTTGAAAAAGAAGGAAATCCTATAATCTGTGAAGATATAGATGAGCTAAAAGGACATTAAGTGAAATGAACCAGGTGCAAAAAGACAAATATTGCATAATCTTACTTATGTGTAGAATCTTTGTTTTTTCTTTTTAAAAAATGTACATTTGATCACTATATATCTTTATAGTGTACATATTTTCCAGCATGAATATGGTGCAAAGGGTACAAAATTTCATTTGGATGAAGGAATGAATTTCAGAGATCTATTGTACAGCATGGTGACTACAGTTAATAGGAATGTATATTTCAAAATCTCTAAAAGGGTAAATTTTCATTGTTCTCACCACAAGAGATGATAAGTATATGGGGTGATGGATATGTTAATTAGCTTGATTTAACCATTTAATAATGTATACATATATCAAAACATCACATTGTTCCCCATAAACATTTACAATTATTATTTGTCAATTAAAAATAAAATAAGGTAGCATATGCTATTATAATTACAATACATTTCTCCTCCCTGAATATAGATTTTACAAAGAAGTCTGAAGTAGTGAAGGTGTCAAGGCAAATAAATATCACACTCACTCCCAACTCCCTCTCTTACCCTCAAAATTTGTTCATGTAGGGAACCAGCAGTTAGCGTAATGGCTATGTCGCTGGACTCCCATGTAGTTGACTGCGGTTCGCGTCCCGGACCCGGTGGCTTAAAACTCACGCTGTGCGCGTGTGCATGTGTGCCCAAGATCCCGAGAGGAGAATGGAGGAGAAGGGATTGCGGCGTGACCATCCCTCCTACGGGGTGATTTCTCGCTTCCTGTCTCTCTGTCTCTTTCTGTCTGTCTGGCGAGCGCACGCGCCCTATTGCGAAAAACCTCTCCAAAAAAAAAAAATTTGTTCATGTAGACACATTCAACCCCATACACTGAAATCCTTTAAAAAATGGTACCAGTGCACATGGAGATATTACTCTGTTATCAATTTGAAGTAGCTGACATTCATTTTAATGCGGTAATAACATTCCTTGATATCAAAGATTTGATGTGGAACTGATGATAAAGAACTTACATGGAACCAAATTTTTCTCTCTGTCTCTTCCTGGTGGAATAAACCCACCATGCCCTCATGGTGACTTGAAAAATGAGAATTTGGTTTTTTTAAAATGATTTTTGTTCTTTTACTTCTAGTTTCTTATATATCATAAGATTTTATTTCCATTTTTTTTGAAATTAAATGATAATACCTCTGCTCTTTCATGGTACTGATTCTTATGTTTAAACATTTCATTTCATACCTTATTTCCTAAAATTTCATGAGGGTCAGCACTTACCTTTCTTGGGACTTCTGGGGTCAGCATTCCATTTCTCTTCTCTATTTACTTCAACAAGGACAGCAGCAGGCAAACCCAAACATTGCACTAAGGGGAAAAATGGCACCTCAGGAGTAATGTTATAGCTAGCTCACCAGTCCTATCCTTGAGTAAAAACAGCCTTCTCTAAGAACTGCAGATGGGAGAACAAAGCTGGCATTTCATGTGTCTTGGATGACAAAGGTCTCTCCTTGTCTTATCTTGAACACGATGCTTTTCTGAGCTTTATCTAGCCAATTGTGTAGGAAAGGGGAAGGAGGAATATTCATAATAATTTCAATTAATGGCTCAGCAGATGGCATGGTGGCCAAGGCACTGGGCTCCCACATGGTCAACTGAGATTCCATTCCAGACCTGGCAGCTTGCTTTCTCATTTTCCCTCTCTCTCTATCTCTCTTTAGCGAATATTTATGCCCCATAGCAAATTAAAATAATAATAATAATAATAATACATAAAATTAAATACATCTTTAAAAAATAATTTCAAGTAACTTATTTGGATGAAGTGTTCGTAAGAATGCTAGAGCAATGGGAGTTACAGGGCAGGAAGGGGATTCCGCGAGCTGCATCTACATTACAGGGAAGCTATGCAAAGGACGTGTATTATGGATGCTGGCCCGTTTGGGAAATGTTCCTACAGAAAAGATAAATCCGTTGTTGCAATAATCGTGTTACTTGCTCTTCTAGCTGCTGTGGTCTGTGTGACACTTCTTGACAGGCTCGACTGTGACCAGATTAACTTGCCCCACGACGTTCTGGTGGAGTACCAGCAAAGGCCTCAGCTCCTGATATCTAACTTCATCAAACGGCGGCTTGGACGTCGCGAGCAGATGTCATAACCTGGCAGCTCCACCCCCTCTGCAAGTTTGTAGCTCAAGTTGGAATGTTGAAGCCATATATTATTTGTGACATTTTTCATATGGTTCTTATCCCCATCCTAAAATCATAATAAAGATTTTATGAAATCCCTTTATCTTAAAAGAGAATTTATTGAAAAAGAATGTAAAACCCACATTAAATTAAATTCAAATTTCGTTTTAAAATAAGTTAACGAAATCAGTCTAATAATTAAAATTTCAAAACTCCTGGATGGTGACATTTGGAGTTTCATATGCGGCATTAATTAGACTTACATCAAAATAGACCAGCCGTTTGTAGATAAATACAGTTACCAGTCATTCTGTTTCTGAAAGCAATCCAGAAATTCATGTTAGAACATTGTCAGACACTTCTAGGTGTTGGACAAGTGATGGAAATTGATCATCCACATTCAAAATATTTACAGAAACCAAGCATCAGTGTAACGGAAATCTCTACGTGAAAGCTACCTCTAAGGAAATATGACCACACTTCTTTTTAAGCCCTGGGCAATTTCAGTTCCTCCCAGACTAGGATTACACACACCTATGCTTGTGATCTTACCACAGACTATAACAACACTGGATTACACGTTGATTTTCAAATGAAAACTTTCGGTAATGAACAAAAATCCTCATTTTTCTTGAGAAATCACAAGTGACTAAATTGCCTTCTAGCATTTTCTTTTCTTTTAACAAAATGTGTTTTGAAAAGGCTGTGTGTATATATATATATATTTAGCTTACTGAAGGTTTAAGCATCCTCCAGAGAGACAGGGAGACGTGGAGAAAGTGAGAGGGAGAAAACATCTGACAATGAAGCATGGCCATGCCACAATCTCTTCTTCTCTATGTCTCCACCTGCTGGAATTTGGGGTACACACGCACAAGCACCCGGTGTGATTTTCAAGTGGCCAGGGCCAAGATACAAACCATAATCAGCTGTGTGGGATCCTGCCCCCTTAACCTCTCAACAACCCTATGTTGTATCTCATTTAAATATTAGCCAAATAGGCTGAGGGATTAGTAAAGCCAAATTTATACAAGAATTTAAAATCGTCTTTTTGTATGACTTTAAAGAATGCTTTGTCCAGACTCTACCTGTACCCCCACCCCCCACCCCATCAGACCTCTGGGAAGAATGGAGACTTCAGGTTACACCATACTATGAATTGATCCGACTTGCAGATTCTTAGGAAATTCACACATTTAGATGAGTTGGAAAGAACGGCCAGGGGATGGGTGAAGGATGGCTCGCAAACTGGTATAGTGTGTAATGTCGTGGACATATATCGAGAGAGTTGCACCTCAAATAATACTTCGTCTCAATAGCAATGCAGATTATTCAGACCCCAGCACCACTGTGTCCTTGACCATGGAGGCAGAGGGCAGGATTGCCTGTTGGCAGTCAGCAGGTCTGAACTGGCCTGCTCTAGTGCAGGGAATTGGTTTTCTCTTTTACACAGTGACATGAGCAGTCCCCTCAGGTGCAGTGGTGCGTGAACTTCTTTAGTCAGTAGAAATGTCTGGAGTGTAATTTTTAAGGTTTCCCAATAATTGCCCATCAAATACAAAGATCAGAGCTGAAGGTAAGTTTGAATAGCCCCACAGTCATATTCTGTTGTTTCTGTTTTTGTTTTTAACTTTGTTTTATATTTTTTAGGGCAAGTAGAAACCACTTCACAGCAGTTCCCTAAGCCTTCAGTTTGAACTCTTACCTGTCTGTTCCTGGAAAATCCTCTTCACGTTCCCTTTTACAGGGCAAAGAGGAGAAGAATGACAGTGGATCATCCTCTCCACTCCCGACTAGGAGTGCATGAGTGAATTCGTGTGGATGTTTTCCTCCCTAACAGTTCCTTCCTCAGTACATAGTATCAGGCTCACAAGCCAGACAGCTGGGAAAGTTTCTCTGGTGATCCTCTCTCCCTTTCCACTTCCAGTCATTCGCTCAGTCCCAGTAATCGAGTCTCCTGAATATTTCCCCAGTCTGTCCACCTCTTTCCATCTGCTCTGCACCCACCCTAGTCTAGGCCCCCATTCTCCTTCAGACTGCTGATTCCATACCTGAAGTTTGACCGGGGTAATCCTTCAGCCTCAGAGCCTTCCCATTGGCCTTCAAGCGAAGACCAAAGCTCTCAGCACAGCCCACGAGCCCCTGCATTCACTAGGGGGCCCAGTTTGCCTTGCCCCACTTTCTCCCCCTTGTCTCTGTCCTCCAGGTGCTCACCCTTGGTTCCTCAGCTGGACTCAGGGAATAATTTACAAAGGTAGGAGACTCATAAAGGATTGCCTACAGCTACATCCAATGAGAGTACTCAGATGAGGGCACAGTGGGACTGAGATCCACCCTGTTCAGCTAGCTGTGTGCCCTGGCTCTGGGCTGTATCTACTGAGCAGATCAATGCCTAGTCTGTACAATCATGGAGGATAATGGGCATTCTGTTTTTTTAAGAGAGATTTTTTTACAGGGGATGTGTGCTCACTGGGGAGACAGAAAGAGAGACGTTACCCACTGGGGGGGATAACCATGTCACAATCCTTTCTCCCCCATTCTCCTCTCAGGATCTTGGGCATGCACGCATGCTCACCTGGAATGAGTTTTAAGCCACCTGGTCCAGAACTTGAACCATGGTTGACTATGTGGGAGTCCAGCAATGTAACCATCATGCCAGCTGCTGATCTCGGATAATGGGCATTCTTAATGCCATTGTCTCTCCATATTTTAGGGCTTTTTGCTTCCAGAACCTCTGGAACAAATGTCAACAAATTCTTATCTTCTGAGTGCAACTTGAGAACTTTCCTGAGGAGTTGAACTCTCCATCCCCCATCCCCCAACACAGACTTAACTCATATTCATTATATTCATGGTTTAAATCTCAACTCAAAGCTCACGTACTCTGGAGAGCCTCTCTGGTCCTCAAACCAAATTCTTCCCAGCCTCACTGGTAGCCCCCAACAGAGCCTTCTGTTGCCTCTTCAAAGTACTTAACACAACTTGCAACTTTTGTCATGATTTGAGTCATTATTTAATTAACTTTATTAATGAAGCTAATAAGTTTTAATTAATAAGAATAATAGGATCATTATTTAATTGGTACTACAACTTCTTGAGGACAAATACTGCATTTGTTTTATTTACTGCTGTATCCCTTAGTACCTAAAACAGTGCTTGTCCCATATTAGGAACTTAATAATACTTGTTAAATGAAGAATGAGTTCTCCTCACAGTTTCCTTTATGAACCCTCACTATAATGCCCCTGGGCTTTGCAAGATTCATCTTTTCCTTGTTAAGCCTCTCATCAGCACAGGTCTCCCTAGCTGTCCTTCCCACTACAACTTACTTTGTAGGGAACAAAGGCCTCTAGACCAGTGTGTGCTGAATTTGTTGATATCACCATGATGTATTGAGCACATCTGTTCTTTTCTATGTGCTTTAGTTGTGACCCCCACTTGTCTTCACTTGGAGGCTCATGTCTGCTTTACACCCTTAGCATGCCAGGCAGTTTTGTTCTTACAGGTGTCCATTGGCTACTCACCTGTGTGTGCTTAAAGTCTGGGCATCAGTCCTTCACTACACCTGTATCTCCACCTCTTTCTTTCTTTTTTAGTTTTTTGCAAGAGGGCACATGCACTCGCCAGAGAGACAGAGAAAGAGAGGAAAAGTGAGAAATCATCCCCCAGGGTGGTGACCATGCTGCCTTCCCTTCTCCTCCATTCTCCTCTAGTGATTTTGGCCATGCATGTACATGCACACAGTGTGATTCTCAAGCCACTGGGTTTGGGACTCAAACTGCACAATCAGCCATGTGGGATCCAATGTCTTAACCACCATGCCACCTGCTATCCCTTTCCTCCTTTTTCTTAATTCATTCAGTCCCTGCTACTATCCTTTTAGAAACAGGCTTATAGAAACTCTCTTCTGGGATCCTGCAGGTGGTATAGTGGTTAAGGTGCTGGATTACCATATAGAAGACTGTGGTTCAAGTTCTAGACCTGGCAGCTTAGAAATTATGCCAGCCAAATCCAGGAATGGAGAAGGGATTTGTAGCAGGGTCATTCCCCCTGGAGGGTGACTTCTCACTTTCCCTCTCACTGTCTCTCCCTGTCTCTCTCATCTCTGGTGAGCACATGTACCCTATGACAAAAATCATATTAAAAAAAAATCTCTCTTCTGGTTATTTCTGTGAATTTTAATTTATGTGCATTTTTCTATGTTGTTTTCTTTGTTCATTCTTTCATTATAAATACCTCTTTTCCAAAAGAATCAAAGACAGCTTACAAGGTAAAACAAAAGCACAGCACGATAGGCGGATGGTGCCAGCAGATGGCAGGGAGAATATATGTAGATAAGTTGATATAGCAGTAATCTGCTATGTGAGCGCTGTGAGCCATGATCAGCTTTTCTAACTTATGTTTCACACCTGAGCACCAGCACAGTAAACACCTGGTGCTTCATAACTGCTTAGTAAAATTCAATCTGTGGCCCCTAAGATGCTATATGTTTCTCATAGCTTATTGTTACTTAGTCACGGAATGTTATTTAGTGCTTTGTTCCTTATAGATGCTTCATTATGGGTATAAAGTATCAATTTCAGGAACAGAGTAAAAGCATCTACATTTATTTCCCTTTTAAAGAAATGTATAACTTTTAAAAAAATTTTAAAGGGTTTTTTGCCATAGGGTATGTGCACTCACCAGAGAGAGATGGAGAGAGGGAAAGTGAGAAATCACCCTGGGGAGGGGGGGATGGCCATGCTGCAATTCCTTCTCCTCTGCTCTGCTCTTGGGATTCTGAGCTTGCCCACACATGTGCCTGGCATGACTTTCAATCATGATTTTCAAGCCAATGGGTCTGGGACTCAAACTGTGGTCAGCTGTGTGGGAGTCCAGCACCTTAGCCACTACACCACCGGCTGGCACCAGACATGTATAGCTTTTAACATTTGGAACTCATTCTGGAGACCCTTGACAAAATGTGTGAATCTGCATTGTAGGAGTCACATTCATTAATATACTGGAAAACTCACATATGATTTTACAGGGTCACGCACCTTCCTCAGACCAGGTCATGGCAGGACACCTGTGTCCTCCACTAAACACCTCAGCTCCTGTCAG